TTTGGTTTTTCTCCGGTACCAGGAACCGAACTCACGACGTTGCGCTTGCCAGCCAGGCGCTTTTGCCGCTGAGCTAAATCCCCAGCCCCCTTGATTGATTGATTGATTGATTGAATGAATAAATGAATTGTACCCATCAGTCCCGAACTGAAGCAGCTTAGGTGCGGGGTAGGGGAAATTTAGCAAGAGAAGATCCTGAGGATTCTTGGGGCAGCAGAGAAGGGTAGTATAGTTGGCAGAGGAGGGGTTCTGAAGCCAGACATGAATCTGAAGTCACTTACTTGCTGTGTATGTGGGCTACATAACCATTCTGCCTTTCTGAAGTTCATTTCCCCATCTGTAAAATGGGAATAACAATCATACATCCAGGGCTGGGCTGAGGTTTTAATGAGATAAAATGTGAAATCTGAGCTTTTTAGACTCTGAAAATGGAGGAGCGCTGTGTGAAGAAGCGAAAAGAATGAATTCATTCCGTAAGTTCTGTGGACGCGCACAGTGGGGGGTGGCCTTGGTGACCCAATGTACAACCCTGGCACTCTGGGAAACAGACAGGAGGGTTGCAAATTCTAGCTCAGTGTGGGCAATTTAGAGACTTAATGAGAAATTGTCTTAAAGTAGAAAATAGAAAGGACTTGGGATGTAGCTCAATGAAACTCCCTAGTTGGTTCAATCCCTAGTTACACACACACACACACACACACACACACACAGAGTCCTCCTAGAGCTTTGGTTGCGGTGGGAGACATAGGCATTCATCAGTTTATCCTCCCAAAAGCTGAAATTTGTAGCTGTGCTAAGAGGACTTGGGGAGCCATGAGGTCAGAGAGATCAGAGGTGGCCTCTATGGGGCAGAAGGACGAGGAGGGGGCAGCGAAGTCAAAAGCTGCGGGCAAGCCAGGCATGGTGGGCATACCTGTAATCTCAGCTGCCCTGGAGACTAAGGCAGGAAGATTACAAGTTCCAGGGCAGCTGGGTATTTTGGTCTCCAAATAAAAAAAAATATATAAAGGGCTGGAGATGTGGCCCAGCACTCCCAAAGTTTGATCCCCACTACTGCATTTAAACAAACAAACAAAACCAACCGGAGGCAGAGCTGTGAAAGGGAAGCACGGCACAAAGGAAGGCCTGAGAAAAAGAAGCAGCGATCTCAGAAAGCCAGAGCACACGGCACCCTCCATTCCTCTCCTCACTCCTGAGACCCCCTGCAAAGCCTGCTCGTCCTTCCAGATGTGCGAGCGGGGCTCTGGGATTGCAGCAGCCTGTGCTTCCTGGACATGGGGCCTCTGCGAAGCGTGAGCAGGACCTCAGGTATCCAAGGCAGAGCATCACCCCCGGCTCCTGCAGTGTGAGTTCACTTGGCCGTGGCAGTGCCTGAGTAGACCCTGACAACCCCTGCTGGGCAGAGCCTGTGCCCCCGGCTGGGCTGGCTTCTCAGAGACATCCCATGGCCAGCCTCTGGGTAGGGTGGAGTGTGAGGGCTTCGAAGACCCTCCTCTCTGGTGATCCCCTCCTCCCTCCGCGTGGTCCAGAGCTGCCAGATTTCTCAGGGCAAGAGAACAGAGCCAGGCTTTTCACCCGGGTGCTCGTCTGTTCTGCAGCCTCCCTTGGCCCGTGTACTCAGCCTGGGGGATCCTGGCTTCAGCACATTCTCGCCTCACTGTGTCTCTGAGCCCTCCTGGCGCCCCCTGCCTCTTCCCAGCCCCGGGCTTCCTAGTGAGGAGCCTCCCCCTCGTGAGGCTGCTTCGTGCTGTGTGCATCTCTG